AAATCAGCCCTCGACAATTTAACCGGCAGAAAAAGATTTCTTTCAAAAATTCCCTAAGCCCCGGGGTCACAATTTCATCAAAAATCTGGCTTTCGGCAATTCACTCAAAAATGCTCCACTGAAAGGTTTGGAGGTCGAAACAGAAGGCTATTTATCACAGGAAAAGAAATCAGCCCTCCACAACTTAACCGGCAGAAAAAGATTTTTTGAGAAAATCTCTAAGCCCCGGGGTCACAATTTCATCAAAAATCTGAGGTTCTCCAATTCACTCAAAGATGGTGCCAAACGGTTGCAAATGCTCCCTGAGAGGTTTGGCGGTCGAAACAGAAGGCTTCTTATCACAGGACAAGAAATCAGCCCACGACAACTTAACCCTCAGAAAAGATTTTTTGAAAAAATCCCTAAGCACCGGGGGGCAATTTCATCAAATATATGACTTTCAGCAATTCACTCAAAAATGGTGCCAAACGGTTGCAAATCCTCCACTGAAAGGTTTGGCAGTCGAAACAGAAGGCTTTTATCACAGGAAAATCAATCAGCCCTCGACAACTTAACCGTCAGAAAAAGATTTTTTTGAAAAAATCCCTAAGCCCCGGGGGGGCAATTTCATCAAATATATGACTTTCAGCAATTCACTCAAAAATGGTGCCAAACGGTTGCAAATCCTCCCCTAAAGGTTTGGCGGTCGAAACAGAAGGCTTTTTATCACAGGAAAAGAAATCAGCCCTCGAAAACTTATCCTGCAGAAAAAGATTTTTTTGAAAAAATCCCTAAGGTTTTTTATCACAGGAAAAGTAATCAGCCCTTGACAACTTAATTCCATTCTGACTTTCGGAATTCACTCAAAAATGGTGCAAAACGGTTGCAAATGCTCCCATGAGAGTTTTGGCGGTCGAAACAGAAGGCTTTTTATCACAGGAAAAGAAATCTGCCCTCGACAACTTATCCTGCAGAAAAAGGTTTTTTTGAAAAAATCCCATTGCTCCGGCGTCACAATTTCATCAAAAATCTGACTTTCGGAAATTCACTCAAAAATGGTGCCAAACGATTGCGAATACGTCCATGAAAGGTTTGGTGGTCGAAACAGAACGCATTTTTTTAACACAGAAAAAGAAATCATTCCTCCACAACTTAACCGGGAGAAAAGAATTTTTGAAAAATCCCTAAGGCCCGTCGTCAAAATTTCATCAAATATCTGACTTTCAGCAATTCACTCAAAAATGATGCCAATCGGTTGCAAATGCTCCCCTGAAAGGTTTGGCGGACGAAACAGGAGGCTTTTTATCACAGGACAAGAAATCAGCCCTCGACAATTTAACCGGTAGAAAAAGATTTCTTTCAAAAAATCCCTAAGGCTCGGGGTCACAATTTCATCAAAAATCTGACGTTCTCCAATTCACTCAAAGATGGTGCCAAGCGGTTGCAAATGCTCCCCTGAGAGGTTTGGCGGTCGAAACAGAAGGCTTTTTATCACAGGAAAAGTAATCAGCCCTTGACAACTTAATTCCATTCTGACTTTCGGGAATTCACTCAAAAATGGTGCAAAACGGTTGCAAATGCTCCCATGAGAGGTTTGGCAGTCGAAACAGAAGGCTTTATATCACAGGAAAAGAAATCTGCCCTCGACAACTTATCCTGCAGAAAAAGGTTTTTTTGAAAAAATCCCATTGCTCCGGCGTCACAATATCATTAAAAATCTGACTTTCGGCAATTCACTCAAAAATGGTGCTAAACGGTTGCAAATGCTCCCCTGAGAGGTTTGGCGGTCGAAACAGAAGGCTTTTTATCAAAGGAAAAGAAATGATCCCTCAACAACTTATTCTGCAGAAAAGATTTTTTCAAAAAATCCCAAAGCCCCGGGGTCACAATTTCAGAAAAAATCTGACTTTCGGCAATTCACTCAAAAATGGTGCCAAACGGTTTCAAATGCTCCCCTGAGAGGTTTGGCGGTCGAAACAGAAGGCTTTTTATTATAGGAAAAAAATAAGCCCTCGACAACTTAATTGAATTCTGACTTTCGGCAATTCACTCAAAAATGGTGCCAAACGGTTGTAAATGCTCCCCTGAGACGTGTGGCGGTCGAAACAGAAGGCTTTTTATCACAGGACAAGAAATCAGCCCTCGACAACTTAACCGGCAGAAAAAGATTTTTGGAAAAATCCCTAAGCCCCGGGGTCACAATTTCATCAAAAATCTGACTTTCGGCAATTCACTCAAAAATGGTGCCAAACGGTTTCAAATGCTCCCTGGAGATGTTTGGCGGTCGAAACAGAAGGCTTTTTATTAGAGGAAAAAAATAAGCCCTCGACAACTTAATTGAATTCTGACTTTCGGCAATTCACTCAAAAATGGTGCCAAACGGTTGTAAATGCTCCCCTGAGACGTGTGGCGGTCGAAACAGAAGGCTTTTTATCACAGGACAAGAAATCAGCCCTCGACAACTTATCCGGCAGAAAAAGATTTTTTTGAAACAATCTCTAAGCCCCGGGGACACAATTTCATCAAAAATCTGACGTTCTCCAATTCACTCAAAAATAGTGCCAATTGGTTGCAATAGCTCCCTTGAAAGGTTTGACGGTCGAAACAGAAGGCTTTTATCACACGACAAGAAATCAGCCCTCAACAGGTGCACTGGCAGAAAAAGATTTTTTTGAAAAAATCCCTAAGCCCCCGGGGTCACAATTTCATCAAATATCTGACTTTCAGCAATTCACTCAAAATTGGTGCCAAACGGTTGCAAATGCTCCCCTGGAAAGTTTGGCGGTCGAAACAGAAGGCTTTTTATCACAGGAAAAGAAATCAGCCCTCGACAAATTAATTCAATTCTGACTTTCGGGAATTCACTCAAAAATGGTGCCAAACGGTTGCAAAAGCTCCCCTGAGAGGTTTGGCGGTCGAAACAGAAGGCTTTTTATCACAGGAAAAGAAATCATCCCTCGACAACTTATCCTGCAGAAAAAGATTTTTTTGAAAAAATCCCTAAGCCCCGGGTTCACAATTTCATCAAAAATCTGACTTTCGGCAATTCACTCAAAAATGGTGCCAAATGGTAGCAAATACTCCACTCAGATGTTTGGCGGTCGAAACAGAAGGCTTTTTATGACAGGACAAGAAATCAGCCCTCGACAACTTAACCGGCAGACAAAGAATTTTTGAAAAAATCCCTAAGCCCCGGGGTCACAATTTCATAAAAATTCTGAGGTTCTCCAATTCACTCAAAGATGGTGCCAAACGGTTGCAAATCCTCCCCTGAAAGGTTTGGCGGTTGAAACAGAAGGCTTTTTATCATAGGAAAAGAAATCAGCCCTCGAAAACTTAACCGGCAGAAAAAGATTTTTTTGAAAAAATCCCTAAGCCCCGGGGTCACAATTTCATAAAAATTCTGACTTTCGGCAATTCACTCAAAAATGTTGCCAAACGGTTGGAAATGCTCCCTGAAAGGTTTGGTGGTCAAAACAGAAAGCTTTTTATCATAGGAAAAGAAATCAGCCCTCGAAAACTTAACCGGCAGAAAAAGATTCTTTTGAAAAAATCCCTAAAACCCGAGGTCACAATTTCAGCAAAAATCTGACGTTCTCCAATTGACTCAAAAATGGTGCCAAACGGTTGCAAATGCTCCCCTGAGAGGTTTGCCGGTCGAAACAGAAGGCTTTTTATCACAGGACAAGAAATCAGCCCTCGACAACTTAACGGTCAGAAAATGATTTTTTTGGAAAAAATCCCTAAACCCCGGGGTCACAATTTCATAAAAATTCTGACTTTTGGCAATTCACTCAGAAATGGTGCCAAACGGTTGCAAATGCTCCCTGAAAGGTTTGGTGGTCAAAGCAGAAGGCTTTTTATCACAGGACAAGAAATCAGCCTTCGACAACTTAACCGGCAGAAAAAGATTCTTTTGAAAAAATCCCTAAACACAAAGGCCTGGAAACGATGCCTTATGAGGAACGGCTAAGGGAGCTGGGCATGTTTAGCCTGGAGAAGAGGAGGTTAAGGGGTGATATGATAGCCATGTTCAAATATATAAAAGGATGTCACATAGAGGTGGGAGAAAGGTTGTTTTCTGCTGCTCCAGAGAAGCGGACACGGAGCAATGGATCCAAACTACAAGAAAGAAGATTCCACCTAAACATTAGGAAGAACTTCCTGACAGTAAGAGCTGTTTGACAGTGGAATTTGCTGCCAAGGAGTGTGGTGGAGTCCCTTCTTTGGAGGTCTTTAAGCAGAGGCTTGACAACCATATGTCAGGAGTGCTCTGATGGTGTTTCCTGCTTGGCAGGGGGTTGGACTCGATGGCCCTTGTGGTCTCTTCCAACTCTATGATTCTATGATTCTATGATTCTATGATTCTATGATTCTATGATTCTATGATTCTAATTAAACTGCAGAAAAAGATTTTTTTGAAAAAATCGCTAAGCCCCGGGGTCACAATTTCATAAAAATTCTGACTTTTGGCAATTCACTCAAAAATGGTGCCAAACGGTTGCAAATGCTCCCTGAAAGGTTTGGTGGTCAAAGCAGAAGGCTTTTTATCACAGGACAAGAAATCAGCCTTCGACAACTTAACCGGCAGAAAAAGATTCTTTTGAAAAAATCCCTAAACAGAATTAAACTGCAGAAACAGATTTTTTTGAAAAAATCCCTAAGCCCCAGGGTCACAATTTCATCAAAAATCTGACTTTCAGCAATTCACTCAAAAATGGTGCCAAACAGTTGCAAATGCTCCCCTGAGAGGTTTGGCGGTCGAAACAGATGGCTTTTTATCACAGGAAAAGAAATCAGCACTTGCATCCCCCTTCCTCCACCCCTGGGTCAACCCACAGTAGGGAGATTTCAGACACTGACCTCCCTCACCCCTCAGCAAAGTGTTTGGGAAGGATTGTAAGTCAGTCGTCAAACACGCAGGAGGTCTGAGATGCAATCCTCAGCATCTCCAGGTAGGGATCATAGAATCATAGACTTGTACAGTTGGAATCCAACCCCCTGTAATGCAGGAATCTTTTTGCCCAACATGGTGCTCAAACCCACAACCCTAAGATGAAGTCTCATGCTCTACCAACTGAGCTCTCACCGAAGGCAATTCCCCTTGCTTGAAACCCTGAGGAGCTGCTATTAACACAGTACAGTGGTCCCTCGGTTCTCAAACTTAATCCGTTCCAGAAGTCCGTTCCAAAACCAAAGCGTTCCAAAACCAAGGCATTCTTTCCCATAGAAAGTAATGCAAAGGGGATTAATCCATTCCAGATTTTTAAAAACAACCCCTAAAAAAAGCAATTCAACATGAATTTTACTATCTAAAGAGACCATTGATCCATAAAATGAAAGCAATAAACAATGTACCGCAGTGACACAATCAACCAATCAGTAGCTGAACTGGGTTCCACACAGTCTCAAAAACAAAACAAAAAAGAGCCGCAAAAACAAATACGCAAAAACAGACACTCAAAATGGAAGTGTGGCACTCAAATTGGAAGCATAACACTCAAAACAGAGCACGTTTGGCTTCCAAAAAAAGTTCACAAACCGGAACACTTACTTCTGGGTTTGCAGTGTTTGGGTTTCAAGTTGTTTGAGTACCAAGGCATTTGAAAACCAAGGTACCACTGTATTGAGCAGGATGGACTCAGGATTGTTCTGACTCCCTATTATGTTCCTAATTCTATTGACTGAGAATATACCCTTTCTTGGCTAACTTTTCACTGTGTTATGCAGCTGAACACGATGATATGTTCCCTGAAGTTTCCACATTACTTTATGAAGTGCAAGATAAGTAACCCAAATTCTTCCCTGTTAAATTAAATTGATATTCTGCTGGGCATTGAACTTTTCCACGAATATTTCCAGAAAGTTTCTGAAGCTTCAAAGAAAAAAAGTTCATGGCTTTGCAGAACATCTACATTCCTAATTCTTGACCACAGCTTCTGTTGGATGACTTAATGAGGAAAAATAGTTTCTTAAGGTTTTTTTAAAGCATTTTTACTAGTTGAAGAGTGACCTTTCAACCCAGATTATTACCCTCATGATTTATAACACAGCCAGTGTTATATGTTTGAGCAATGCTTTTTCCCAAGAGAAATAGGTGCCAGAACTCACCATTAAGTTACCGTAAGTAGCTGGGCAACCCTGAACAGATGGCAGTTTGACAACAGTTGCATTCAGCGACGACAGAGGTGCCAAAAACCATGGCAAGCTGTCTCTCTAGATGGTTTTGGGGTTGCCCCTGGTTCTGATGCAGGTCAAATAAATGTTCCCCCACCTCCCTCGTTCCTGTATCAAGTTGTCCACCCGTCTTGCCATGTAGCATCACACACGCCCATCATGTTGGGCACCCCCCTCTCACCTCCACAGCATGGGTTGCCATTGACAGAGACAGGAAAGCAGGGAAGGCATTGACATCATAAAATGCAGTACGGTGGAACCTCGGTTCTCAAACCTCTCCATTCCCGAATGTTTCGGCTCCCGAACATCGAAAACCTGAAAGTAAGTGTTCTGGTTTCCTAACATTCCTCAGAACCTGAACATCCAACGCGGCTTCCGATCTGCAAAAGCTGTCAGCCAATCAGAAGCCACGCCTCAGAATTCAAATGTTTCAGAAGTCGAATGTCCTTTCGGAATGGATTATATTTGACTTTTGAGGTTGCACTGGAGTATAAAAATGTAAAGGGACCCCTGACAGTTAAGTCCAGTCACAAACAACTCTGGGGTTGCGGTGCTCATCTCGCTTTACAGGCCGAGGGAGCCGATGTTTGTCCGCAGACAGCTTCCAGGTCATGTGGCCAGCATGACTAAACCGCTTCTGGCAAAACCAGAGCTGCGGACGGAAACGCCGTTTACCTTCCTGTTATGTACTGAGTTGAATAGGATCCAAAATGCAGCAGTCTGATTGGTCCGCAGGAGCCACCCAATCAACTCTGGGTGGAAGTGAATCCGCAGCCTGATTGGCCTACAGAAGAATCCCAGAATTAGCCAATCACATGGGGCCCATTGTGTAAAGAATGTATATAGAGCAGACATTTCAGGGGAACTGCCATTCCTCACTACTCTGAGCTGAATAAAGAGCATGAAATCCACACTTGACTCCGAGTATATTTCACTTCCTGTCAGAGCAGTGCCTATCTATCTGCTGCTTGCACTTTTTGGGCGTGCTTTCGAACTGCTAGGTAGGCAGGAGCAGGGACCGAGCAACAGGAGCTCACCCCGTTGCGGGGATTCGAACCGCCGACCTTCTTTTTTTTTTTTTTAAATCATATTTATTGAAGTTTCCAAAAATATAAAAGTACAAAGAAAAAAGATAAAAGAAAGAAGATATTTAAAAACCTTACTTTCATTCCCTACTTTCTGGAACTCCCCCCTCCCCCCCCCCCCGGTTGTATTCCCCTTTCCTTAATTTGGTTCTACAAGCTCTCACACCCAAATTTAAAGCTTAATTTAACCGCCGACCTTCTGATCGGCAAGCCCAAGAGGCACAGTGGTTTAAACCACAGCGCCACCCGCGTCCCTACACCCTATACTGGACTATACTCAAGTGAGATAGCCACAACAGCAACTACAGTTTAATCAATGAAATGTAGAGGCACGTAGATCATGAAAAAGCACAAAATATCATATAACAATTATGCAACTGCAAATGAACCTTATTTGCAACTACATTATATCAGTAAGTGTGAACTTCCTTTACCTTCAAATGGCTGTTGTAATTCCTCACGTGCTTATTTCAAGCCAAAAGAATTTTTTCTTCTGATGATACAATATCAGAAGCTTGCGGCTGCATACTTATTTAAAACACTTTGATGATCTTAGGAACTAGTTGATTGATATAACACAGTAAGAACCAAGATCCATCTCCTTGCTATACATTTGCTGCTTCTATTTGCCCAAGGACCATTTTACATTTAAACAACATCTCAGCCACCTCTCATTTAACCTCCCACCTACACAATCCAATTGACATGTAATTGTTCTTTGTTGTTCCTTTGTAGACATTTGACATTCTTGCTGAATGCTCTCAGGCTAGTCTATTAAAAATAATATATTTACTTCCAGAAGGCATTTTCTTGATTTCCACCAGATCTAGGCAGGTGGGCACTCTGGCCCCATGCATCTCAGGACCATTAATTACTACTTATTTCTTTACACCACCACTGGGATAATGTTTCAGTGGAAGAATAATGCATCAGGCTAATCACTGCGCACCATTCTGGTTGTGAATAAGTTTTGTTCTGCATTGCAATACCCCTAGATGCCTTCTAATTTAGAATTCATTTATTTGTCCTGCAGAGAAGATTTTTATTATCCAAAATCAAACCGATTGAATGAATGGCCCGGGCTAAAAGGCTATGATAATTTGACATTTCCATCTCAAAGCTTCTACATTGTATTTTTTAAAAAAAATAATATTTATTACTTTTCCAACAATTTAAACACTACAAAAACAATACAATACAATACAATACAAAAACACTACATAACACTCTAACACATTAAACTAACAAAACAATTAAACACATCAAACTATTTCAATATCTTATCTTTCATTCACTTATTTCAACGACCTCCTCACACCTCCCTTTTTGTATTCCACTTCTGTTAATTTTTTCAGCAATTCCTTTCCCTCTTCCTCTGTTTTCTATCCTATAATTATCTTAAAACATTCTAACCTTATTTTTTCCTTTAATACTCTATTAATCTATTTATACTTAATTCCTTATAACATTTCTACTAAAGCCATATAACTTCATTCCAACATTTTTCTAACATTCATTAATTTTACAATATTTCTGTAAATAGTCTTTAAACTTTTTCCAGTCTTCTTCCACCGACTCTTCTCCCTGGTCTCGGATTCTGCCAGTCATTTCCGCCAGTTCCATGTAGTCCATCAACTTCATCTGCCGTTCTTCCCGGGTGGGTAAATCTTGTGTCTTCCAATACTTCGCGATGAGTATTCTTGCTGCTGTTGTTGCATACATTAAAAAGGTTCTATCCTTCTTTGGCACCAATTGGCCGACCATGCCCAGGAGAAAGGCCTCTGGTTTCTTCAGGAAGATATATTTGAATATCTTTTTCATTTCGTTATAGATCATCTCCCAGAATGTCTTAATCCTTGGGCATGTCCACCAAAGGTGAAAGAATGTACCTTCAGTCTCATTACATTTCCAACATTTATTATCGGGCAAATGATAAATTTTTGCAAGCTTGACTGGTGTCATGTACCACCTATAATTCATTTTCATTAAATTTTCTCTTAACGCATTACATGCCATGAATTTCATACCTGTAGTCCATAACTGTTCCCAGTCAGCCATCATTATGTTATGTCCAACATCTTGTGCCCATTTAATCATAGCTGATTTCACCATTTCATCCTGAGTGTTCCATTTCAACAGCAAGTTATACATTCTTGACAAATTCTTGATTTTTGGATCTAGCAGTTCTGTTTCCAATTTTGATTTTTCCACCTGGAAACCAACTTTTTTGTCCAAATTGTATGCCTCCATTATTTGGTAATAATGGAGCCAATCTCGCACTTTGTTTTTCAATTTTTCAAAGCTCTGCAATTTTATTCTGTCTCCATCTTGTTCCAGAATTTCCCAATATTTCAGCCATTTGGCCTCCATATTGAGTTTTTTCTGTGCCTTCGCTTCCATTGGTGACAACCATCTTGGGGTTTTCTTTTCTAACAAATCCTTATATCTTATCCAAACATTAAACAATGCTTTTCTAACAATATGATTTTTAAACGCTTTATGTGCTTTTACCTTATCGTACCACAAATATGCATGCCAGCCAAATGCATTATTGAAGCCTTCTAGATCCAACACGTCAGTGTTTTCAAGAAGCAGCCATTCTCTCAGCCAACAAAAAGCAGCTGATTCATAATAAAGTTTAAGGTCTGGCAGGGCAAATCCACCTCTTTCTTTGGCATCAGTTAATATCTTAAATTTTATTCGAGGCTTCTTGCCCTGCCAAACAAATCTGGAAATATCTTTCTGCCACTTCTTGAAACAATCCATCTTATCCAAAATTTGTAATGTTTGAAACAAAAACAACATCCTTGGCAGCACATTCATTTTTATCACAG